GTAAAAATCTCCATCCCTAATTAAACCCTGTATTCAAAAGAAACAAAAAAAAAGGGTTGTTAAAATGGCCAGCACCTTGTAGTCCGTCGAGTGACCACTCTCCTTTGGAATAGGTGTATTGAGATCAAAATTATGGGTTCAATACCCAACTACAACCTCCCCCACCTCAAAAATTCCCCTAGGTCAAAACAAACAAATAAATAAATAAGATGCATTGGAAAGTTTTGCCTTAGTCATTTGAAGGAAGAGGTGTGTGAGTGTCATTTATTTTAATAGTTAGTATTTTTTAATTTAACGCAATTTCACTACTAGAAAACATAGTATAATCGACAAAAAATACTATCGATTATACAAGTATTTCTATCAATTATATCTGAATTGACAGATATAATCAACAACAATTTTTGACGTAAAAACACCAGTAGAAAATGATTATAATCGATAGAAATTTTTTCTGTCAAATATATAATCGACAGCCATTGGTTGTCAAATATAAGTATAATTGACAGTCAATGACTGTCGAATATATTTGGTAAAAAAATAAAAAAATACAGAATTTAGTAAAATCTAGAATTATATTTATAATTCTTTTGTTAATTAAATTATATAAAAAATAATAAAACCAAATTCAACACAATTATCAAACCTCCCAACAATATATTTATGAAATAATTTTAAGAGTAATATAATATAAGAAATAGTAGATAAACATAAATAAAACTAAAATAAGAATTCTAACCTTAATTAGTTTTTGATCAATGTCTTGCCAAAAATAAGAAAAAAAATTGCATTGGTACACATTATGACTTTATTAAAAGAAAAGAAAATAAAAAGTATAATCAAATTTTTTTAAAAAATTACCTCATAATTATTGTATTAAAATCTGCACACAAAAAAAGAAGAAGGAACTATTTAGTATATCAAATAACAAATATTCTTAATTTAAACTAAATTAAAGTAGTTGGATGATGCAAAAAAAAAAAAAAAAGCATTGACTGAGAAGGATGAAGAGAAAGAAAATGATTGACTGTCAACAAAAGAAGATAATGGAATAAGTATAAATGAAAACTAAAATAAAACTAGAGATATTTACAAAAATACAATTGGGAGAGTATAGAAGATGAAAGAAAAGGGAAAAATAAAAGGAGAAGAAGTTGAGAGAAAAACTAGGACGTTTTGCTTGTGAGAAAGAAGGAGAAAGGAGGAGATAACCAGAGAATTAGTAGCACTCATATTATAAAGAGTTTTCATGTTTATCGTTTCTGCCATCCATGAAAGTACTATGACATCCTATCCCCTGGCACCTATATGAACTTCTGTAGCATGCAAGAGATCATAAAATTCTCTTGCCTTACTATTTGACTCCTCAGCCATTGGCCGCTCATTGTATTTAGGCTGTAGACCCATTACATCAACTACTATTTCACAGTACATTGCATCTGCCTCATTTTTAATAAACTTCATATTAGGAGATTCCCCTCCAAAGTTTCTTATTGTATTGTTGGATGTCTCTCCATAAACATATCATGTGTGATAGTTATAAATTAACCCATGCTTACACAAATGCACGAAGACAACCTCAGGGTTCTCCCATTTTCTACATTTACATTTTGAACAAGGACTTTTAATCTTTGATTTTGCTTTAGGTCTAAAGAATGCAAATCTCACAAAAAATTGCACCCCTTCTTTAAATTCATTGGTAACAAAACCATCATCGTCTACACGATGATCTATCCAATTACAATCCTCTATCATTTAATTACCTAATTTGAATTTTAACTTGACAAAGTATATGAACATATCAACTAAAATTCAAATTTTAACATGCCAATAACCACACATGTTAATCTTAATCTTAATAATTTTAAATTAACTTTGTTTATGTATATAAATTCAATATATACAAATACTACTATAGTTCAACAATTATACATATATTAATCCCAATGTAAATAATTTCAAATAAGTGACTTTATAAATATATATTAAATATAAATAGCACTATAGTTTAATTACCATACCAATCTCAATTTTAATCTCAATATTTTGAAATAAATAATTTGATATAGAAATTCAATCTAAATATCATTTTAGTTCAATAATAATGCACATCATAATCTCAGTATCAATCTCAAACTCAATAATTTGATATAAATAATAAATTTGCGACAATAGAAATTAATATAAATATTACTCTATTTCAATAACTACAGACATCTAGACCTCAATCTCAACCTTAATCTCAAACTCAATAATCTGAAATTCCTAACTTTGTATATGTAAATTTATTATAAAAAACTCTTCAACTAACATACATATCTCAATCTCAAAAACTTGAAAGAAATAACTACAATCCATTGACAATTCATGCAATAGTAGCAAAATCTATACTAATCCACAAATGAGACAATATAATTTTGTATAAAAAAACCACAAAAATCCCAATTACCTCTGGTAGTAGGAATGGTGATGTTGTGGAGGCAGTGAAGGCGGTAAAGGCTAGATTTGGACTTACAAAAAAGGGAAATTGGGGTCTTGTAAACCCAAATCCAAGGAAAAAACAAGGAAAACCAACAACAACAAAAAAAAAAAAAAAAAAAAAAAGAGAAAAGAAAATAACCGTCAATGATACTACAATTTGTAGGGAACACAACAACGGGTAACCTCTTCTAGGTGGCGTGGTGGCTCGGAGGCGATGAAGGTTGGACCAAAATGCACGAATCTACAAGAAAATATGCAAATTCCGACTATAAATCCAAGGAAAAAAAAACTAAATCGATTGGGAGAGGGGCCAAATCATCATCACCAGTGCGAGGATTCTAACAATAGGAGGCATGAAGACTAGTCCCTCAGCTAACCAAGAATAGCGATGGCAAAACTCGCTGGAGAAGAAACTAGATCCATCGCAAAGGGAGAAGAAGAAATGGGGAAGAAAGGGGAGTCGGGGGGTTAATGAAAGAGTATATTCAATAGCTAAGGTTGTCGAATATTCAAAGGAAACAACATTGTTTGCATACATAATCGACAATATTTCTGTCCATTATGGCAAATACATAATCGGCAGCAAAATGTTGCCATTTAAACATCATTGACAACCTAGTTTATGTCGATTATATGCATCGACAAAAAGGTTGTCAATTATGAAACTTGTTGAATAAACACACGAATATTACACATAATCAACAAGATAATATAATCGACAATATTTCTGTCAATTATATGCATATAATTGACAAAAACTAGACTATCGATTATAATTTTGTCGTTTATACTGCGTTTTCTAATAGTGCGTGCCTTAGACTTTTCAAAGATGTTAAATATGCCTTTACCATCGTCAAGTCATTTGAAGCTAACGAGAGGTGCATCCGGGTGGGATCCATTGAGTGACATGGAGCATTGTTGAATTATTTGCCTTCACTTTGATGATTATGTGAACAATTCAACAAGTTTTTTGTGACTTTTGCAAAATTGGTTAGACTATCGACACCACAATGTTGGTGTCGACACTTCTGCTTCAGTTTCACCAGGCACAAGAGCTACAAAATCTTAACGCATGGTATTGACACCTACTAACAAATCAACACCTACCAATGTAGTGTCGACAAATTGCCCATGTCGGGTTTTTTGCATCTTGTTGCAATTCTGTCAACAGTAAAATAGCAGACCTCGTCCTCCAACTTCTACATGATGGGTACTTTGTCTACATGGCCAAACAAACACACAAATCAATAAGAAAACGCAACACTCGTGTCTATATGACTAAAAATTTGTCTTAACTATTAACAAAATATATAACAAAGACTCGTTTGTATGGCTAAAATTTGTCTTAATTGTTAATTAAAAATATAACAAAATTTTGTCTAAGCAAGACATATTATGACCATTATTGTTCACAATATTGAAGGCTCTCTTCTCTTCTAAAAGAATTAGTAACCTAACGCAAAAGTTAAAAATTCCAATCTCTTTCGTCTTAAAATTATTGATATTTTAACTTTTAATATTAAAGGTTCTTTTCTCATCTAATAGAATTAGTAACTTGGTGCAAAATAGAGTCATTAAATAAGAGCCAAACCCCTTAATATTGAAGGCCTTCTTTTTTATTTAATAATAAATATTGTGCAATTCAATGGAGACTACACAATGCTTTTTCTTTTTCACATACACTCATCCCTCCTCAACTCAAAATTATGTATAGTCTTAGTCTAGATAGAATTAATAATGCCTATGTTGTTGTTAATGTAGAAATATATACCTCTAGAAGAATGCAGATCAAACTTGGTACAAACTACATGGGCCATGATGGGTTTGATTTATGTTAGACAGTTAAAGTTGTAGTTAAAAACTCATTTCCTTTCATCTATCTATCTTTTGATGGTTTTTATTGAAATTTTGATTATAAAATATAAGCAGGAAGAAATTCAACACCCCTTCACCGGGCATCCCAAGCTAATCATCAATTCTCAAGCGGAGGATGGTGATTTCCCACAACAGGTTTTCATCCTTCATTTTACTTTATCTGTAAATGTATAGAGCCTTAAGTGTGAAATGTAAATTGAAATGAGAAAATTAAAAATGATTCCTAGATTTTGTCTAAAACCACTTCCTTTGCTTGTAGGATGAGAGGATTCAACATTAACAATAATACATCTCTTATTTATGCAGGAAATCACTGTAGCCTTCTATAAGAATAGCATGTTACATCATGCAACTTATAATATAAGCATTTAACCACTTTGGGCACTTGCAGAGTATGGTAGACGGATTCTTAATTTTGATTTCAAAATAAAAACTTTGAAATTACTTTAAAAAAATATTATTATTTTTTAAAATATACTTAATTTTTATATCAATCAATAAAATCTTAGCTCAATGGTAGTAAAAATAGAAGTCTTAAAGGTGAGGAATTAAAACTTACTAACTTTGTAAGGTGAGGGACTAAAATTGGTTTTAGCCTCATATTTCCCTCTATAAGTATCTCGTCTTTCTCCCATATTCCCATGCTTAAGTTTCTTCTTCAACCTTATTTCGTTCCTTCTTCCTTTCTCTGCCAAACCGTCCCTGAACAAAGCTTACAGAGGCTTCTGCAATTCTCAGGCGACTAATTCTCGGTCATCATCCCATCATACATAGCTGTTTTCGGATTCATTCCGTCATAAAAATTTTCAAGTGCTTAAGAATTTCTGCATTTTTTATTCAACAGAGTGAAGAGAGAAGGCCTAGGTGAGTAGTTTCTGATTGAATTTTGAACCAAAAATGTGGAAGCTGAAGATTGGAGAGGGCGTCGACGGTCCCTACCTCTACAGCACAAACAACTACGTAGGGAGACAGACATGGGAATTCGATCCCGACGCCGGTACACCTGAAGAAAGAGCCCAAGTGGAAGAAGCTCGCCAGAATTTCTACAGGAACCGCCACCAGGTTAAGCCTTGCGGCGACCTCCTGTGGCGAATGCAGGTATTCCTTTATTCTTCAAGAAATTTAAAATTAGCATGTTTAAATAGTTCAATCCAACAGTCGAGGTGATGACTCTGTATCCAATAATACCATCTTAACCGCTCATGGTGTTTTCGTAAGACTAACTATAGTTTCTTTATTTCTTTTTTTCCATAATAAATCGGTTTTCTATAGGAAAATTGATTAAACACAAATTTAGAATAAATTTAGAGTTTAGGGTAATATATACATAGTGAAGGTGTCGAATTCAAGTCACTTCACTTTTCGGTGTGTATAATTATTGGATAATGATGTGTGCACACCCGGATCCCACACTCGGGTGTGTACACACCATATAAACAAAAAAAAAAAAACCCATCACCCGGTTCAACTTTTTTTTTATGTGGGGGGTGCACAAGGTGTGCACCAATCAGTGTCCATAATTATTAGCAGATTAGAGGGGCTTCGGAGGTTTTTTGGAAATGGAACACGTATACAAGGGGAGAAGAAAGTGGGAATTTACCAGAAAGAAAAAAGAGACAGTGGATCTGATGGTTTCAGAGCATTTGATATAATTTTGTCTTTGTATATTGTTCGGTTCTGTGGCTGTTTTTACTTTTTATGGTCTGTTTCCAGAGTTGACAAGTGGAAATTAATGCAAGTTAGTGAGATAGTTCGACCGTCCTTCCTTGAATAATAAAACCTTCATGCTGCCGTCTTCATTTCTTATGGTTTGGCACAATATTTTACCTATTATAATTAGAATTTTATCAAGTTTTTCTATCATATACCCTCAATCACATTTTCCTTTGTTTTAAAGAATATTATATATATATCCTCAATCACAAATTAAGTATAAAATTATTATATTTTTATATTAATTAATGTTAAAAAATAAAAATTAATATTTATTAAAATAATTATTTAATTAAAATAAT